TGCTGTTTATACAGTCTTCAAATTTTCACCAGGGAAAAGAAGCTTTACACTTCTATATATCAGCACGCGAGCATGACTGAAGTATGTCAAGATTGCGCTGCATTGTAATCAATAAATAAATAATAATAGTAATAATCAATTAATCAATTAATTAATAATCATAATTAATATTGCAAACTCCCTTGGATAATCCTTTTCAGTCGCAATCACGTGTCAGAATTTAGATTAATGTTTCATGAGATAAGCTAGCTACAGCAAGTTGTAAAAACATGGATAACGAAGAGGCGCATGTGCATCTCATTAAAGAAAGGACGGGAATGTCATTGAACGATGCAGCGGATGACTGACGCAATATGAGGCGTTTTAGCCGTTGAGTAGCTGCTAGCGGGGCTCGAGAGCGAACTCCAAGGCAAAACGGGAGAAGTGAGTTCCATAACTGATCGGTGAGCGCCTATCTAGCATTATGTATATTCCCGATCGAAACCGGTGAGACAACGATCCCGCGGCGCAGTGGGTACAGTGTTAGACTTCTAACTGGCAAGGTCGCGGGCTCGAACCTCGGGGATCGCCACCCCTAGCGTTGGGTTTGACTGCCAGATGACGGCTTACGAGCCAGAAATGGTCACTCCAGTTTTCCTTTTCTTTTTAGCAATATATTTCTACTGATATGTTAACCAGTAACCGAAACTTCCGCATTTGTGTGGTTCCCAAAGGCCCGACCGAGAGCGTTCCGGATTCAACATCAAAAAGTCACGTTAAAACCTTAGATCTTATCGGAAAAAAACTTCATATGTAGCAATATATGTGCATTTAATGTGTACGTCGTTATACAATTTTTCGAAAAAGCCGAATTGCCTATGATGACCTCCAGCGTTTCATCTTCCAATAAACATTTGTTGATGAATATTTAAAAAAGGACGGAGAGAGTAGCTAATTACCTGATATATGCAATCCAGGATGTCTCGGACGACCTCGGGCTGGTCGGACCAACGTGGAACAGCCATCCAAAGACGAGAGAAGAAGGCCACTTTCTCGCGGTTAGTAGGTGCAAAGTGTTCCTCTGCCTTGGGCACATCGATCCAATCGCGAAGGATGCGGATGACAGCACGAAGGAGTTTAGCCTCCTTGGAGCGCTCAATAATGAAGAGGAGATCCGGACAGAAGACGTTTTTGCGCGCCTCATTACTTACAACATTGAGGCGGGATTTGACAATATCCAGGCCGCTGATTAGCATATCTGTCAGTTCTGAACAGTATGGGAGTGCAACGGGAAAAAATAGCACCATTCACACATTTGGGGATATAGGGTAACTGCTAGAGCTTATTGAAAAAAGAAATATACAAAAAACAGTCAGGGCAGGCTGCACATCTAGCGCACTGTTTCATCCATCCTCGACCTTGGGTCTGATGTCATGACCAAGTCAAGGAGATTGGAGGCAGGATCGGGCGCAGGCGCCTAGCGCGGCGTGAGCCTGCGCTTATGCGTGTTACCAGGCCCCACACTTGCGGTATTTGGTTGAGTGCGCATTATTAGTAGCCAACCTAACCAACACGCTCCCACGTTACGTAATAGCTCCGCCCACATGCGGTGCACACGAGGACGCGCAAACAGCCACCGAAATTAGCACTCTTCCATGCCAATCGGACGAGTCGGAAAGCCAATCGATTCGCAAGTTCCTTAAAGACGCTACCTGATTGGTTCAATCCTGTGCACCATGTATACACTCGCCTGAAATACGCTGCACTAAGCATGTTAATAGACTTCCATTCTTGTGCCCTTGCAATCCCTTTGAGACTCGAACGAGATGGCATAAATCTAGGCTTGTGGCAACATTACAGCACGCATCCGCAATAACGCCTGCCGTCCCCTGATCTAGCCCGTGCGTTGGTCCAGCGCCAAATAAAACACACGCCTGCAGAATCAAGGGTCGAGTTCGACTGATTGCCTCGCAGTCCTCTAATTGCCGAAGGGGGTCAGTGCCCGGCAAGCGGCCTGCAGACGGGAGAAAATGTCCGCTGGAGAGCGAAAGCCGCATTCTCGCAAACCGTTTTCGCCAAGGATTCCTTATAAGTAACACCGTACTTTACGTAACCAAATACTTATTCCTTTGTAGGTAGCCGGGTTTATGTGTACGTATTCAGAAGCTGCCACTCCATCGCACTCCCCACAGGAAAATCTTTAGGGTTCCGGGTTACTTAGAGTGTTATTAGTTTTAGTTGACTTTTATAAGCGACATGCAGTTGTTTTTCGCCTTATCATACTATAATACCTGTCCAAATGCATTAGATGCTTTTGGAAGTTTTTTTCAAAAAATGGGAAAAATTCTACCTTACATGGTTTTACTTTAATCTCGAAAATGCGCACTTCTTTGCGCAGTTCTTGATTCCTATCGGTTGGGTTTCTCATTTTAATTATTGCGTGCCAAACACTAGGTTATTTAAGTAATTATTCCTATTATTTTATGGTTTTTTTGTACGCCCTATTGTTTTAATTATTTTTTCTTTCCCCCGACATAACCCACCCTTTTATCACCGATTGCTTGTTATACAAACGTTGTGTTTTCGGTACTATGGTGTCACTTACCCTGCTTTCAAAAAAAGATGGCTGGATGATGATGAGAGAATGAAAGTGGAGCAAAACTGCGGAGTAAAGGGGCCCGGGTGAAACAGAAATGAAGTTGCAGAAACTAGCTAAACCAAAGAAACTGACAGGACGATCTGATGTCTAATTCCTACCGCTTTCTCCGAGAAGGTGCCAGGGGCTATTCCGAACATACACCTTTTAAGTGACGTTAAAGAATGTTAGGTAACTCATGCAAAGACATAATCGGACTTGGACGTGACAGTTTAGCGGACATTTGGTTGTGGATTTGAAAACTGCTCACTCAGTGAAGTTTATTTAAGGGTAAAACGCAGAATTTTGGCGAAATCTGAAGTTGCCTGATATTGAACGGATTTCCTACAGTTGTGCGAAGTAAGCGTTCTAGTCAATAAACGCGACTGTTACCGTCACGACTTCGCAAAAGATAATCGTAAATCGGACAGAAACCACCTCCGAAGAAGCAAAAATAAAAAAAAAGTATCCGGCGAATGTTGAGGGAGTGGTAGTCAAATAGACAGAAAATAATGGGTAAATAGTACGTACGACTGAAGGCAGTATTATCCTGTGGTGACTGGCTTGATGTCGGCGTGACAACTTCGTGAACCAGACGATGCAGCAACTTCACGATTTGTGATATACAGCGATCGACAAAAGCGTAAGGGTTGGTCGTACATTGTTGAGTTGCTGTTAGAAGCAAAAATGCGGACTGCAGTCGCGGCAATATGGCTGTCTTGTTGATGCTACGAGGAGAAGAAGATAAGAGAAGCGTCCATCAGCCGTGTTTGAAATGAAAGTAATAACGATAACTTTTGAACATGTGCCAGGAGGCAAAATATACAGATAATAACCTACTTGTCACCAAAAAAGGTAAGAGCTTCGTGGACTGTCTTCAGAACAACAGTGTACAGTTCGACGAGTTCAGAAATGCTGGTAATTTTCTGTCGGTTGGACGCATCTGCCGGGTACTTCATGAGAAGAGCTCGAATAAGGTTGGCACAGGCTCGGGTCAGACGAACATTCAGGGGATAGGATGAAAGCAGAGTGCTCACTGACTTGCTGAAGTACTTGACGTTGGGCAACAGGGTGGGACTTTCCTGCATAGGAAATAGACAAAATAGACTGGTTGATAGCTGCTGCTGCTGCTGCTGCTGCAACAGAAAAGCTGAGGCTTCGCTCAGATTAAAGTGACAAAACGTGAACCTAATCATACTATCATTCAGCCAACCGAAGAGCCTTTATCGGTTAGCAGACGGTGACAGTCATCTATGTGGCCCCACCTGGTTATTTCATCGGGGGGAGGAGGCTTCTCTTGCACTTATTCTCCGTGTCATACCTACAATTAGGCTTGTGATTAGTTTTCGGAGTTTAGGATTGGGGGCTATGGCTAAGGTTTAGGGATTAAAACTACGTTTAGGCTTGAGCCTTAGAAATAAGTAGGCCTATGGCTAGGACTTAGGGGTAAAGCTATCAATCTCAAGTACAATCATATCTTCAGGCGCGGCCAGTTGGAGAGCGGGTTAAATGAAGCGTTCCTCGTATCTTTTCCCTCAGTGTAATTGGTCATCACGAGCTGGGCTTAGTTCGCATGAGACACCTAGTCAATGGACTAGGTTTTCATTTTTTGCAGGCTGTGATTTCGGGTTTGCGTTTTTAGGGTCTATGAGTGTATTTTTATAAGCTCACCGCGTAAAAAGGGACAAACTGAAGCAGAGACGATCGGGCAGACTGTTAGGTATTGAGTTGTACAGCAGGTTCCAAAGAAACATAAGTAAGCTCAACATAACATTTCATGGGTAGGGCTGTGAGTGGCTTGCAAGTGCCCTGAAAAAAATTTAGGGTAAGGATTCAATATACACATCGCCATTCCCCAGTTAATTATACATTAACAACTGCATATTTCCTTGTAATTAGACAGTTTTCTTGTGTATGTATTCAGCATTTGCAAATCCATTGCACTCTGCAAACGGAAATCTTTAGAGTTCGGCAGCTACTTTTAGTTCAACTTCAGTTTATTAGCTCGAATAGTTTCAGTTGTTTTCGCTGATCCGCGATTTGCGGAGTTCTTCTTTCCTATCTGACGCATTGCTAATTTTACTTATCGCGCGGATTGTGTGTTCAATATTAGGTTATTGAAATAATTGTTCCAATTATTTTCTACTTTCATACGCTCTACTTTTTCAATTAGTGTTTCCTTGCCCTGATATGCCCCACTCCTGTAACCCCTATTACAACCAGTACCGCAATAAACAAACGTAGGAGTCTTCGTTACTTTCTGCTGTGTATACTGAATCCTTATCGAATTCGGTTCAGTGGCGATAATGCAAGCCGTTCGTAGTATGAAATGTGAGAAGTGGCAAGGAACAACAAAAGCTACTAAAAACTAGCAAACATGTAAACTTTACAGGTGCAAAACACGTACAAGCGTCGTGTAGATAACCCGCAGCACCTCCAGAGTCATGAAGACACTGGACGACTGGGTTGGACCAAGGCTCGATGATTGCGATTGTTGCTGTGTCTGAGTGCTGCCGCCACCGCCAATTGTGCCGGCGCCACCTGCTCCCGCAGCGCTGCTCGCTTGTGATTGGCTACTT